AATCACGTTTTATACACAATTTTTGTAGGATGGTATAAATACTTTTAACTTCCAAGGACTTTCTAATTTTACAAAGATGTGAACCCACAAAATACTCAGCAAAACTAATAAATTGCTATAATAACCTCAGATCTCTTGGTAAGTTCCGTGTATTCCTGAAGTCAGTAGTGAACACTTTACTATCTCAGGCAACTTGAAATCAGTCATTTTCCCTCATACCAAGCTTTCTCAGTAGTTATTTCCCCATTTATTCTGTCCTTCAGTCTTTAATGTCCATAGGGACTTCTCCAGTGATGAACAATTATTTCAATTATGGCTCACATGAGATAGTCATCAAAGACTGATTGGCCTTCTAACTGCATCAGTTTATGTACTCTATATACAAAGAGGCTTATGTGACCATGATGCTCAAATTCTCTGTACCCATAGCTTACAAAATTATTGTTTTTATCTGTTTTGTCCCATATTCTTTGAAAGCACATAGCAGGCTGTCTGCTTCCTAAAACTTTTCTGTCATTCTAGCAATTTTGGTATTGAATTGTCTTTAATGATTATTTTCTAAGACAGCTAAATACAATAAAGGTTAATGTCTGCTTTCCAACTCATGGATTTTCTATTTACCTTTATTTGCTTTTTCTATTTCACTCCCTTCCTATTGCTATAAGACATCAATGACTATACACAGAGAGTCTGCATTATGTATATTGTTGTGTTTTCTTTGCATGTTTTGGCCTGTGAAGGAACTAAGCAAACAAAATATATACTTTAAAGGTAGCTTGTCTTCAAAATTTTGATCTAAGGATATGTTTCTTTGGAAAAGGAGTTTTTTCTTTTGTTTCCAGAGAAGATGAAAACTTGTGGAATCTTCCAGACTAATGTAATTTGATGAACAAGGCCCCCTGAAAGGTTGACATGGACACCCTCAAATATTACTTTGCTCAACAAAAAACATGGAGCAGATCAGAGAGAATGATACCTAAATTATCAAATATTGTTGATAAATATATGCTTATATATAAATAGGGATATGCTATAGAGATTTGCATTGATATGGATCTTGGTTTATTGAAAGAAATTGAGAGAAGAAAAAATTTCAAAGTCAAGGTATTTTCAAAATACCTATTTTGGATTAATTCAGCAGCATTTATAAACAAATATCATTTGGCAAATGTTGCTCCTTCCTCAGCATTCAAACAATTCAAAGAGAACATAATAACATACAGTATCCAGACTCTCTGTGCAATCTTCATCTTTATGTGGCTTTATTTTAACCTATTTTTTTTAATTTTTGGCTTTTTGAGACAGGGTTTCTCTGTGTATTTTTGGCTGTCCTGGAACTCACGCTATAAACCAGGCTGTCAATGAAATTACAGAGGTCTGCCTGCCTCTGTCTTCCAAGTGTTGGGATTAAAGGTGAGTGTAATAACACCCAACTACTCTCTTTTTTCTTTTATATTTTAAGGACTTTAACCTTTTATCTTTTATCTCCCAAGCCTTCACATATTTTTAAACACACTCTAAACTGTTTAGAAGTTTTATTCATCTGAATCTGTCTTTATTGTATATCTCTCTTTTTCTGAACACATGAGCCTTTAATTTGCTAAGTCATATGACTAGGATTAAAACCATGACTTTGACAGCTGTATCCAGCCCATTCTTTAGCTTTCTGAGATTCCAGTCTCATGACAGAGATACCAGCCAAAGCCATGTTTATTGCCAAAACTTTATGGTGTTTCAAGATCCCTGTCACCACCAAAAAAACATGTGGTAAGCTTTTCATGGCAGGACCTTTTAAAAGAGCTGCAAGATTTTACAGCTAATGCTATGTCAGGAAGCTTCTCTTAAATGGGAGTGTTTGCCTCTAACAAGCAGAGCCCAACTGAGAAAATGCTGCTATCAATAAGCTGTGCTGAACACTATCATTTTCTGTCCAGAACTAATTTCCAATCTCTCTCAGGCTTTATGGGGATGCAGTTGTCCATGTTGGCACCATTCTGTTGTCTGAGTTATCTGTTCCAACAAGGTCCCACAGCTGTTTAGTCCTTTTTCAGCAAGGCACTCACATCTTGCTTCCTCTGTGACTGGGTAAAGACTGAGGACTAAGATTTCCTCTTCCCAAAATTCTCCTGAGTTTATTTCTTGCCTGTTTGTCCCACCTAAACTTCCAGGTTGCTACTGGCCAATCAGAATTTATTAAAACAAAATTGACCCGGTATAGACAAATGTCCCACAGCAGAACCTAGCACACATGATACACCATTAAAGACCTAATCAATAGCACTCCCAATCAGCAGAAAGTATTATAGAGAAATGAGCACATATTCCCAAATACTGTTTATAAATATTTGTTTATATTTAAAGGGGATATAATATAGAGATTTTCAATGTTATGGATCTTGGTTTATTGGTAGAAATTTAAGGTCAATTTTATTTTATGGATATATATTTCTGATCTTGAGTAAGATGTTTGTGCAACTCATTAAAAATGTAATGCATAATTAAGAACTATATTAAATAGAGAGCCAGCTATAATAGTCAAGCTTATAATCATGTTAGATTTTGTAGATGTACAGAGATGTATTTCAGATGGATAGGGATTCTTCAAATCTTTCAGAGATCTTCAGAATATGGCATTTAATGTGTTTTAATAATTAGGATATTTTATAACAGTGAGACACATCTGCTTTTGGTAGGAATAAGATACTTCAAAAGGATGATGGACATCAAAAAGGCTTCTTATAGAGTTTGCTAGCCATCTGGGCAAGAAACTGCTATTGCCTGGACTTCTTGAAGGCATGGTATATGAACTGGACAAGCAGAAACCATAGAAAAATTACTGTTTAACTTAGACAAGATAAAAGAGTCTACAAGACATTCTTCAGGGCACAGAAAAAAGTTGCTGGCAAACTGCCATTTTAGGCAGAACTGTCATGAAATGTCCTTTATAATGGAAAAGTTTGCTGGATACCATGGGCCTTAAGGCTGAAGATGGATGCCTCAAATGTACAGAAAAGCTTTGGGTAATTGTTCAGGTAGTGAGATGTCTCTGTCAATTCTAGAGTTTTGGAAGTTTCTTACAATGCACTTCCTGATTACTTAGGTAATATTATAACCTTCTGGAGTCTTTGATGAAGTTCAGGAATAGATACATAGTTATAGTTTTTCATAGTTATGATAAGTGATAAAGTAGATATACATATTATAACTATAATTATTTAAACAGAGAAGGGGAGGTGAATTGGGAATCCCCTCTTTATGCTGTGAATATCACTAGTTAATAAAGGACTGTTTTAAGCCTTTAGCAGAGAAGAGCATAGTCAGAGAGAAGTCATGTAGCCCCACTGGACACAGACACTAGGACATTTCCCAAAATGCCACAGACTTGGGGCATTACACAGATTAATTAAAATGGGATAACTTAACATGCAATACTTAGTCAATAAGAAGCTAGAGCTCGTGGGCGAAGCAGGGATTTAAATAATGGTTTCTGTGTGATTACTTTGGGGCTGAGTCAATGAAATGACTAAGAAGCAATGTTCCAACAGGTGTGAACAAGATGTGCGGCATGATCTGGCAGTCCATTCTAGTGTTTGAGTCTGTATTTTTCCAGCACAAATAAGGAGTAATAATACTTCTTTGGCAATATTGGTAACTAAATGTGCATGATCTATATGTTTTCACAGACACCAGATTTTCACATTTGTGTGGAACAAGTTCTAAGTTGGTAATTGCTTAAATCTGTCAAAAGGCTAGTGTCTTACTGCTCATGCACTTTATTTTAATCAGTGTTAAAATGGAGGTGTGATGTGGAAGAAGAAAAGAGAAAAGGAGTTCTAAGGGAGGGAGTTATGTTTCTGATCAGGAAAGTCACTGAGTTGGATTTGGTATAGTGGATAATCATAAACTACACTATTTTTCAGTTTCAACATATTCAGTTAGCATATCAGGAATATGATATATGCACATATGAAAGGTGATCCCACTAAATAAAATCTACAATAAAATATTGTGATTTTATTTTAGTTTATTGCAGTATTAAGGTGGAAGAGAGAGAGAAGGAAAGCAAGAATTTCATAGAATTTAGGTTCCTCTTTTTGAATCAATTAAATCATGAAAATGTTAATGCAAACAATCATTACTGACAGTTCTTGGAATCTACAAATTAAATTCCATAATTTCCAGGATTTTTACCAATTTTCCTCTTGACAACATTTTTCCCATTTTTTCACTACCGGGATAGCCCATTGTAACTAAATACCATATATGGAACTTTATTATCCATAAAAAATTAAGTGCATTGATTGCACAAACTCTCACCTGTATTATTCATCATCCCACAAAAGAAAACTTGTCTATTGATCAAGTTTGAGGAGAGTAATGAAGGCTTATCTAGTCAGTATTCCCTTCTAAGATCAACTAATTGTTTCTCTCTTTCATTTCCTGACTACTCAGGGTAATTGGCCTCGTAAATACTTGTAATTTAGTGAAAAGTTTGAGCTACTTTTCTTACCTTGGACTATATTGGATAATAAAAGAGTTAAAACTGTAAAAAGGAAGAAAATTACACATCTATATCCCTAATGACAATGAACTGGAAAGAATATGTGATAATAAACAAAACAAAAACTACTATCATGTAGAAAATATGACATATGTGTATGGAAGCATCAAATATGCAGATCCTTAAAGGACAGCACTTCTGCATGTTGAATATTAACCCTTGCCACCTCCATCTCACATTGTCCTGGAAGATTTCCTCAAAAGAGTTTAAGCCAGAAATAAATAGTACACATTTCTTGTTCTTAACTGTCTGGTTTTCAAGGCAAACAAGATTTTTAGTATTTCTGAAAAATGGGTATAACTTTGTGTAACATAATGTTCAGCAATCTAAAGAATATACTTAAGTCAAATAACCTGAAAGTTACAAACTTCAATCTAATCATTTACATGAGAAATCAGCAATCCCAAATGAAAACAGAAAGTAAATGGTTTTACAATACCATAAACTCAGGGAAGGGATCTCCTCCAGTGTCAGCTTTTTGGGATGCAGAGAGAAAGTATGGCTTTACCGCTTGAACTGGAACCTTACTGAAGAACACAGTCAGGTGCTGTATGAGAAATAAACACCATAAGTTAAAGGACAATATCTGGATAAATAGATCTGAATACACTTAAAGTCATAACCATGTATGTATGATTATTAGTAACATGCATTTATATCTAAAATGTAGCAATACATTGACTTTAGAAGCCAATAATTTTTAAAGCTATTCAGACGCTAAAAGTATTGCACACACAGTGAAGACATATTACTTTGTGGTCAACATTCAAATTCATTTTAACTCTATAAGGAACTGCCATAAGACAGCCAAGATTGACACAATATTCAGATAGAAGAGTAAAGACAGGGAACTAAAGTTTTCACTCATATTTCAAAACTTAGGACACATTAGTTATCATGAGGTCATTTGGATTTTGTTTAGCTAAATATAGATTAGTGAAATGAAATCAGGTGCACAACATGAACACTTAAACACATTTGTGTATATTCATACGAATGTGTAAGGATTTGCAATAAGTAAACATTTTTATAAAGACAAGCTCAATATTGGAGTTCCTCTTCCATCCAATTCCAGCTTATTTTCATTGAGAAATGGCCTGCATTGGCTCCTAGAGCTCATCAGCCTGTTAGAGTTGTAGATCAATTCTGGTATTATAATGGGATTATATGCAAGTGTGTGTGTGTGTGTGTGTGTGTGTGTGTGTGTGTGTGTGTGTGATCTCACTGGATTTCAAAACTTCATTTATTAGCAGATGACACAGTCGTTTTGAAAACTCTTGGGACAAGTGGATTCAATCTGAGAACTGAGTTCTTCACCTAACAGCACACGAAGTACATTGAAATTTCGATATGCCAATACATATCTAGATATTAAAACTTAGCAAAGACAGCAATTCATTATAAAATAATTATCACACTAATAAAATAATTTGTAATATTGAGGCAAAAAGTCTGAAAAATATTATAATAAGCAAAACCATATATTTTGTATAATGAATTATATACTCAAACAGGCCTGGTGACAGTAATACAGAACTTGCTGGAACAATAATTGCCAATGAGTTAAGGTGTTGGGAGAAGATCTAGAATAAGACAAGGCAGTGTGCCCATAACCCCCATGTGTATATCACCACCTCTCTCTTAAAACTGCTCCATCTGCTAGTTCAATTTCCCAGTATGATGTCTTTTATGCATCATAAATAATAATAGAGTGATACCAAATAAAATAGCAACTACCATTTAATAATAGACAAAAATGAAGTAAAAAGTCAAAATCCAAAACAGGTCCTGCCATACCTTAATAAAAAGATAGGTCAATCAAGAGACTCAAGTATTTTTAAACATTATATTGGATAAGTTAATTGATCAGAAAATATAAAATATTCCATAACTCTGGATTTAAAAGATAAATAAGAAAACTACATAAATAATACTAAGACTTGTCCTTTCTGCAAAGTGGTTCTATTAGGATTCAAGAGGTAAAATTACAAAACAATAAGGAGAAACGACAAGGATGGTCAAAATGACAAGAAATCAGTATTTTACATTTTCTCAAAATTATCTAAAACATATCAATTATGTACACAGATAGCCAGAAATTGCACACATTTTAGAAGATAATCTGCAAAACAGGGGCCATGACTACCTAAAAACCATCAAAACCAGAGAGGAAAATACTCCAGTCAAATATTTGGTAAGGAAGATCAGGATTCTAGTAATATGTCTGTTTGTTGTGACTTTGGCTGCTTCTAAGAAGTGGAGGTTAAGCCCCTGTTGCTGAAACACTGAGTTTTTGTTAGGGAACTATAAAAATTTGAACAGGAACTACATAAATCACTGGGCCTGAGGAACAGATATCAGAGACCAGGAAGTTTATAGGAAAGCTGTCAAGGACAAAAAGGATTGAAATGTCCAATTTGGTTATAATAACTTGGAATGACAATGACCAGCATGGTTAGATTTCACTGAAGGTACAACACTTTCTCATGTATCTCATCAATAACTAATATGTACTTAATTGAACTCAAGTCTTCCTTCAAAGACGTAAAGCATGTTAAATGTTGCAAATCACAAACATTACAGGGTTGTTGAGTCCATGTAACTTAGAGGCCCTTACCACCACTTTCATAAAATGCTATAATATCTGACAGCATCATCATTTGGTTGTTATATCCACAGAAAAAATTAAAACTAAAAATAAACTTGTTATATTTATACACTAATATATGTGTATGTAAATAGATTTGTGTGTAATACATAATAAAAATAGTCAATTAGGAGGTAATGAAATTGAGAGTGGGGAGAGGACTACACAGTAAGAGTTTGAGAGAGAGTGATGTGGAAAATATGCAAACACATGTGCTTTTTATTAAACTCTTGTATTTTAAATATAAAATGGTAGTATATA